GGGGGGGAGTACCCGGAGAAAACCCACGTAGGCCCAGGGAGAACAAGCAAACTCCACGCAGGAAGGCCGGAGCTGGAATTGAATCCACGACCTCTGCACTGTGAGGTAGACACGCAAATCACTGGCCCACCGGCCGCCCTGATGAGTTACAATGTGCCTAAATTGTTTGTACTCAATGAGCACATTTTGGAGGGCCATCCAGAATTCAGCAGCATCACATATCAAAACCTCTGAGTACACTAATAAATAAATCCTTCAAACAAACTTTAACATAATGTTAAAGTCATTATGAATACATGATTAGTTTTGATAAAAGAAGACCGACATTGGAAAGTACCTTTGAAAACCTAAAATATAAATTTACTGCCCCCCAGTGGCAAGTTTGAAATAATAATGCCCTGAGAATGTGTTGTTTGTTTGAATTGAGAAGACTGCATTGCTGGAAACTACTGTATTGTCAAACTAAACTAATACATACATTTTTTGTCCTTGGATAAATTCAAAATTGCTTGCTTACTTCACAAAGTCCATAAAGGGAAAAATAGCAACGTGTCAGCGATGTAAAGTCCCTGAGACTTGTTCTATCAAGTGGAGTTAAAATTAAATTTTGTAGTTTGGCATAAAAGATAGTTGTCCACATGCTGTGATTTCAAGTTTAAATGTATGTATTATCAACACAATCTTAATATATAATGCAACAAAGCTACATACTGTATGAAAATGGATTCACAAATCTTTTTGGTTTTTCATGAAAAATGCAAATTTAACAGAGAATATATATATATATTCTATATGAATTAATCTTTCACTGTGATTGGCTGGCAAACAGCAGTGAACCCTCGCCTCTCGTTCAAAGTCACCCGTGATAAGCTCCAGCTGACCTCTGTTCTAAGCCTGTGCCCCAGAAGATGAAAACAGGCAGTCTAGAAAATAGAGGGGTTGTTGTTTTGACGCGGGTGAAACGGTGGATGACTGGTTAGCACATAGAGGTCAAGGGTTCAGATCCGGGCCTTGGTCTTTCTATGTGGAGTTTGCATGTTCTCCCCGTACCTGCGTGGGTTTTCTCTTTGTACTGTACTCCACTTTCCTCTCACATTCCAAAAACATGCATGGTAGGTTGATTGAACGCTCTAGGTGTGATTGTGAGTGTGAAAGGTTGTTTGTTTATATATGCCCTGTGATTGGCTGGCAACCAGTTCAGGGTGTACCCTGCTGACTGCCCGAAGATGGCTGGGAGAGCCTCCAGCACACCCGCGACCTTCCTGAGGATAAGCGGCTGGAATGATGGATGGATGGATGGATGGATGGAGAGAGAGAGAGAGAGAGAGAGAGAGAGAGAGAGAGAGAGAGAGAGAGAGAGAGAGAGAGAGAGATTACGTTACAACATGTTGGTTTAGAATTTTGATAGTCAACATGTTTAAACAGTTTAGTTGTCACTAAAAAACACGACGAAAACAGTATTTGTTATATAATGAATTGTAGGCTCAAGACCTGTCCCGCTGGTTACAGCTGGTGACTCTCAAGTGTTGTAAAAACAGACACCCTCTAACGGTATGTGATAGAATAACTCTGTAACTACGGGTCAGTTGCATTTAAGATCGACACGTTTACACTTCTAATTTTTAATAACTCTTTGGTTTTTGAAACAATTTTTACATACCATTTTATATGTTTTATTGAAGTCATTAAGTACAGTTAAAAGTTAGATTGTGAAGCCCGTACAGAAAATGGTAGATGAATGGTTTATGGATCTGCATATAAACTGCAGAACTATAAAATGTTAGGATTTTGATAGGGGAAAAAAGGCAACAATAGAATGTGGGTTCAAGAAATTCTGGCGGGCGTTGGCTGCTTGGGTTGCCGAACTGGTCCAACGTTGTACTTATGTTCTTTTGTTAAAACAATAGATGAAAAGAAGCGCAGTTTCAGGAATAAATGTGTTTTTTTTAAACCCACGTTTTACTTTCGTGCGTTGTGTAAAATGTGGCTGTCTGTATGCAAATCCAGTGCGCAGGACGGATCCGAGAGAACGCCTTAGAAAACTGACGTGGGTTTGCCAAATCACTTCTCTGCTTTGGAATGACGTCCAACCGGGACTTTGCAGTTATATTTAGAGCCTATATATAGTGGAGTCGCCCCCTAGACGTTGTTGACTGCAGCTGGGCAGCAGCACCGGGCAGCTTGTTCTGAAACGCACACTACGTGAACAACGTATTTACTTTACTTTGTACGTGCACAAATAGGCAAACATAAGTCTGCCCTTTTTAACAATAAGCAGGAAAATATTTCAAACAACTAAACCATTATTTTACAGGAGGGGTAATAAACGATGTCACGTGTCTCTTGTTTTACATTAAACATAACTAAATACAGGCAGTTTTAAGTTAAACGTCATTATATTCGTTTTACTGCGGTAGAGGGGTACTAAAGTGCTGTTCGCCGTGTGGACTAAAGTGGACCAGTCACGAGCGATGCTTTGTGGGTAAAGTGCGTCCCGGTATCCGCCCATATTCGCCAAAAGGAGGCCAACCTGAGCAGCTAGGCCGGCCGACGCTGGAACAAATGGAAAGTTCAATCGATTAGTTTGCTCACTTGTTTTTGCCCGTTCCCGCTTCCTTCTGACACCAAGTAGACAGGTTTCATGCGGACCTTTCTTCGTGGACCAGGCAATGCAGACATCGTGTGAAACGAGAGGACGATCAGCTTGACTCATTTTGTCGCCACTTCAGACACGGAACTCCGTTCGTTTAAAGGTAACAGAAATGGGGACCAGACATATAAATAGCTTCTTTTACGTTTTTTGACACGTGATATCCACAATCCTAACCGGTCGTTCAATGTGTAAATAATGTTATCTTTATGTAGTGTTGTTGGTGAAGTGGATTCTCGTTTCATTGAAAATGCAAACTACGCCCAGTTGTGAACCTAATGTCGGCCTGCGATGCAGCCCTTTAGGCTAGCCTGTCAATGGCGGCTTCAAACTTTGCACAATTTCCCCCTTTTAAACTCAATGAATGATACTGATTTCCGAGCATACCAGGCGTAGACTGTTGCTTTGACGACGTGTTTTCGGCCACGACTCTGCAAACGAGCGTCATTGAAGTTTTAAGGTCGCGGGTTAGCTCCAAAGATAGCCTAGCTCTTAGCACACTGTAGCCTGGTTGTTCACTGGGTTCGGAGGTTTTCAACCCACCAACCTGGCAACCTTGCAGTCTCCCACTGCACGTTTAAGGTCGAATTCCTGTGGACTTTCGAAACCTAATTTGGGTTGCAAGTTTGAGCTTTGACGCGGCATCTACGTTATACTCAAAGAGGTGAGCCCAGTTAGTCATAATTAGTCGGACACTCAAATTCAATGAAAGTAAATAATGTTGAGAGAATTGACAAGATCGTCAGAGGGGCGTTACTTTAACAATATGCCGATATGACTATATTGTTCAATGCTTTGTGAGCCCTGAATGTAAAGTCTTCCATATGGTGGCTGGAGTGTTTGCAATTTTTCAATACTAATTGATATTTTATACAATACGTCATTATTCATATAGGGCTTTCACAGCAGCTGTAACAAAGCGCTTTACAGGACAGTTAACATAAAATAACAAAATAATATAACACAACACAACATAAAACATGGACAGTCATGCAATCGTAACCACTTTTCCTGCCTACGCCTTGTTGCTTGAAGCAGTTATAGATGAAAGAGGAAAGAATTTGTTTATACCAGACAATAAAATCCCAGAAGGCATCACAACAAACACTATTTGGTGTTGTTTTTATCTCTACACCGGCTGTCACTCGTGTGGAGGAAGGATACACATTACAATACTGTGCAATGCAATGAATTTACTTTGTATTTCTTTGTCAGTACATCTTGTAAGATGATTGTGGTTGCTGCTAAATGCTTATGTTTAGCCATAAAATGTGAACTTAATGTTGGTGTTTTTCTCAAGGCATGGGTTAAAAATGGAACCAAATTTACAAAAATGCATTGCCATAATGTTGACACATAGGTAGAGAGAACATAGATCAGCGGTCGGCAACCTTTGACACCGAAAGAGCCATTTGAACCCGGTTTCCACGGAAAAGAAAACACTGGGAGCCGCACATCTAAAATGAAAAAAAAAAAACTTCTACTACTTTACCGCAGCATGTTTCTTATGAAATCCACGTGCTACAGAGAAAATTACATTTTATTCATTTAATGAACACATTTTGAACATTTTGAATTCTTGAAAAATAATAACAATGAATTTCTCTTTCAAATAAATTAAAAAGCTGAATTTAAATTGTCCATGTAGCAAACGAAAGCAGAAAAATGCCATGAGGCGTCATCCTTATATCCATTTATCTTATCTAAAATGAAGATAACACTGTATATATTGCTTTTTCTTACCTTTACACTTTGTATAAACAACTATAGTGTGGTTATGTCTTATGAAGTGCTACGGAGAAAATTAAATTTTACCGATGTAATGAACACATTTTGAATTCTTGAATGATTCTTTCATATATTCTCCATCTGTGAACGGTTTCCCATGCCTGCCTATTTACTGAGCGGCCACAAAGCTTGCATATGTAATTGAATTTGCAGACTTCACCCACTTCTTGAATTGATTTTTCGTCCGGTCAGCCTTCTGCATCAGTTCCGAAACAGCTTTTTCCCTCTCTTCTCCCTCTGGATATTTTTCAGCAAAGGCTCTGTGTGTATTGTTAAAATGTCTTGCAACATTTGACCCTTTATTGTTAGCCAGTTTTTCTCCACAAATTAGAGAAAACAAGAATGGCTAGTGTGTTCGGAAAACAAACATTTGTACATGTCATGAACAATGAATGGTCAGTAAAAATCTATTTTGAGCGACGAAAAAAAATAATCAAATAATTTAATTAATATTTTAATATTTCAAGATCACAATAATCTTCAAATTTAGAACTAAAATAATATAAAAACTAACACAAATAAAACACACTTCAATTAAATACAAAAAAAAAATTTTTAGTAATTTATTTTCCCAAGCCAATCAGAGCCGCATTATAAGGATGAAAGAGCCGCATGAGGCTCCGGAGCCGCGGGATGCCGACTGATGACATAGATGAACACAAAAGGGCTGAAGTTATTACGACAAACAGGAATGACAAAGCACCATGTCAATTAATTCGTGAGTCCCCGCGAAGATGACTTCACTGTGGCAAAGTTTGCAAATACTGTTCTACATAAAGTGAAAAGTAAGCATGGTGTTAAGTTATGCTTACAGGAATGTTTTTTTTTTCTTGTGACAAAGGCTAACATGAACTAATTTCCTGAAAATAATGACATACCTTCTCCATTATCCAGCCTGACTTTCCCCAGAAAACATACAGCTTCAATGCAGTGCACAAATATCACCACATTCAGCAATATTATTATTGGTGTTTATTCACAGTGCAATTCAGGAAACTTCAAATGCCTTGATTATCTATGCAGGGGATAGCTAAAAGAACTTAGGGTTCTGATGATATGCTGTTCTTTGTTGCCCCAGGTGAATCATGACAGAATATAAGCTGGTTGTGGTGGGAGCTGGTGGCGTGGGCAAGAGTGCACTTACCATTCAACTCATCCAGAATCACTTTGTAGATGAATATGACCCCACCATTGAGGTATGTGGATATGCATGAATATATATGAATGTTCAGTGTGTAAATATATATGAATTTTTGTTGCAGCCCTCTCCACATTGTGTGTATTTTGGTGGTGGTGGTGGGGGAAGTGGGGGTGGAGCAATGATAATATCCTCTGTAAAAGTAGTTCTGACACGTTCTTCAAGTTTAAGTGTTAAAGACACCAAGCAGGTTTTGAATGTCCTTGTGACTCCCTGCTGGCTTTCATGAAGGCTGAGCCTATTTAGATAGTTCACTCTCATTATGACGCGAGTAAATTATTGATGTTATGTAAGGATTAGCTGTGCCCATTTAATATGATCACTGCTGACTCAGATGCACTCACTGAATAATTATTTTTTTTTGTGTGGGTGTGTGCTTGTGCATCAACTTTGAGTGCCTTCAAAAGAAAGTCCTGACTTTCTGTCAAAACACCAATACAGATATATACATTTATTTTTACTAGATTGTATTGCTCAGTTTACCTTTGTTACTTCTTTCCTGTTTTTTCTCTCTCTCTCTCTCTCTCTCTCTCTGTCTCTCTCTCTGTCTCTCTCTATGTATGTATGTATGTGTGTGATGTATGTATGTATGTATGTATGTATGTATGTATGTATGTATGTATGTATGTATGTATGTATGTATGTATGTATGTATGTATGTATGTATGTATGTATGTATGTATGTATGTGTGTGTGTGTGTGTGTGTGTGTATGTATGTATGTGTATATATATATCTCCTCATCCTCGTCTCACCCCTCGGGTGGTGTCCAGACCTGAATCCAATCAAAAGATCTGAAGACTACTGCTCACAAATGCTCTCTATCTAACCAGGGGGTCGGCAACATGTGGCTCCAGAGCCACATGCGTCTCTTTAGCGCCATCTAGTGGCTCCCTGGAGCTTTATAAAAATGTTTGAAAATGGAAAAGATGTGGTTGGTTTTTTAAAATGTACACTTTATTTATGCTTTTAACAGTCTCGACAAACACAGACACGTCTGCGTCCGACTCCGTGCCTTCTCTCCTCTCGTTCGACTCGAGAGGCGTACAAAGACAGCCTCCGAAAAGTGGAAATTATTGATCACTTCAATGACACTAAGAAAAGCGAAAATAATGCACCACACCAAAACAGAAAATCAAGCGAGGATATCACAAAATAAATTCTTTGGGGGCGTTTGTGAACACACAACAAAGGAATGAATAACACAAACAATTCTGAGATAGTCCAGCCTCCTACATACATACAGCATGTGTTTCCGTCATTGTAAGTTTTATAGAAGGCTTTTATTTTTTTGCGGCTCCAAACATATTTGTTTTTTGGGTTTTTTTGTCCTTTTTTTGGGATCCCTGATCTAAGCTCAATGAGCTGGAGCTGTTTTATGAGGACGAATGGCCAAAAATTTCAGGCTGTAAATTAATATGCTATATACTTTACAGAAGAAACAAAATTACCAATAAGGGTACTGTTTAAATACAGGTTTCATAAGCTGTATCGTTAAGAGTAGGAGTAGTAGTATTCTTAAAATTTTAGCGATGCCCACCCTCAATCATTGGCCATTAAAAATGAAATCTTGCATGCTAGTCAGATTTCCAACTATTTGGTTGTCTTGTGAAGCTTCTATGAATCCCATCTGGTGGCCTTCATCTCTTTCAGGACTCTTACAGAAAGCAAGTAGTGATTGATGGGGAGACGTGTTTACTGGACATCCTGGATACTGCAGGTCAGGAGGAGTACAGCGCCATGAGAGATCAGTATATGAGGACAGGGGAGGGCTTCCTCTGTGTCTTTGCCATCAACAACACCAAGTCCTTTGAGGACATTCACCACTACAGGTGAGTTAAGTAGTGGCCTCACTCGAAAGGTTGTCCTTTGAAGAGGACATTTTATGGAAAATTGACTTCATCTATTACTGTATATAGCACCCACCACGCGTTCTCTCCCAATCGTCCCATTTTGTCCATTGCCGCCCCCATTTCAGGAGTCCGTGAAAATCGTGTAAAAATGTCATTCACGCTCTTACATCAAACCTTGTTAAAATTGTTTTTAGAACTGGGGAAAACACATTGGTTCACGGGCCCTCAGTGGGAAAAGCTTGTACTGAATAAAAGTCTCTCGCTGTCAATGTCCAGAGAACAAATCAAGCGGGTGAAGGACTCTGAGGATGTCCCCATGGTGCTGGTGGGCAACAAGTGTGACCTCCCGTCCCGGACTGTGGACACTAAACAGGCTCAGGACTTAGCACGGAGCTATGGCATTCCCTTCATTGAGACCTCAGCCAAAACCAGACAGGTATAAGTCCAAACACACGCGCATGTCCGCACACAAACCTTTTCAGTGCATTTTATCCTAACCTACTGTAGTTTTCGACATGTTTTCACATATATGGTCCTCCTCACATAGCTATTTTTCACAAGTTTGTGTTGTTACATTAGCAACATTGCTTTTATAATGCTGTTTAAAAGTATTTCCCACTTTCCTGATTTTTGTTTTTTCTCTTTCTCCACATTTGTCACACTTAAAATGTTTGATTACCATACCAATATTTTACAAAGACAACTCAAGCAAATATAAAATGCAGTATTTTTCATTGTTCCACTAAACTACAGCAAGTTGTCCAGGTCCTGAAATAGTAAGTCATGCCAGACCATCATGAGCGTTGGCCTTTTTTTCCCCCCAATACTGTTATATTTATATTACATGAAAAATGATGTGGTTACTTTTTCTCATGGGGCCTTTTCCCTCCTCAATGAAAAAAAAAATCACATTTTATATTTACTTGGTTGTCTTTATGCGGTGCTAATAATGGCTTGATGATTTGAAACAAGTGTGAAAAATCAAGAAAACTGGTCACTTTTTCGAAATAACGTTTCAGTGTTCTGGTTGAGTTAAAAGTTTGGTTGTCAGGGTATATATACTAATGCCATGCTACGTTGTGATGAATATATGAGATTACTGCTGAGCCACATGCAAAGTGGCCTGTTTCTTAAATCATAAACAACTGTCCCCATGGCCAATGTCAGTAATTCGTCTTTGATGAGGATCAGGGAAATTAATTGTAGTTATGCGACTGGGTGTCTCATTGGTTTCATCAGAATAAGTATGCATCGTGATTGGTGACTAAGTGGCTGAAGGAGTGAGCCACTTCCTTGCTTGACCTCTATAGTTCTCTTATGGTGAAATCAACACAATGATTTCATTCTCACATTAGACTCCTGTTACTAACCCACTCCCCCGTCACCAACCTTTTGCCCCGCAAATCCTTTTTCCTCGATAAGGTGCTGCTGTTTCATTCAACTTTCGATGCCTCTGGCCAGCGCCTGCTTTGCCTGGGGTTGGTTTCCTTGTGGAGATGGCTGGAACAGTGAATTTCCCTTAGCCATCTAGCATCAGGAGACTGAATGAACTATGTTCTGCCTTTTGAACGAAGTTCTCAACTTGAATAATGAAAACCTCGATGCGCTGTATGATACAAATATTCAGTGTATTTTCACATACTAAATGATGCATTGTGGGGCGAAAACTGATAGTGGGTTATAGAGACTAAAATTGATGATTAACCCCAACCAGAAAGAGGTAAGTTTTTACAATAACTCACATTGAACTTGAGTTGCCTGCTGGTGTAACCACCTGAAGCCACTGGCCTGCTTTGCACCTTCTGTGTCTATACACTGTATAAAGCTGTACAACGTGCCCTCCTTTGTATTGGTCACTACTGAGGGAAGTTGTGTCTCATGCTGCAGAGAGTGGAAGATGCCTTTTACACTCTGGTACGGGAGATCAGGCAGTATCGCCTCAATAAGCTCAGCAAGGAAGAAAAGACGCCGCGCTGTGTCAAGCTTAAAAAGTGTGTTGTGATGTGAATGGGGTAAGTGTCAGCAGCCTCCCCCTCCCACCAGCTCTTCTGTGTTTGTACGTTCAAACTGGATTGTGGAGACTAAGGCAAAGTGGTGTTGGATTCTCCATGTTAACATGCAGATTCCTGCTGGGGCTGTGGTGAGGTGCTCATAGGCGCCTATGGATGATTTCTGTCTGTGTCTCTGTGTCATGGCTTAATGTAATCCAAAATTGGTGTCACTCTGACTTGGTATCGTTGAATTTTCTTCTTTCACGCTTGTATACGTTTGGTCCAATCTGGGGCACATTGGTTTTTCACTTATTTTCACACTCTTACCGGCCATCACCCATGACATGAGGTACATGTGCACAATCTAATGTATTATCAAACCACAATACATCCATCCATGTTCTACTACTTATCTTGTTCGCTGTCACGGGTAACTTTTTGCGAGGAGGGGGAGGGATACTCCTGCAACTGGTAACCAGTTAATCACAGCACACGTATAGGTTAACAACCATTTACTCTCACATTCCTGCTTCTGGGTGATTTAAAGTCTTCGACTTTCATGTTTACATGTTTTAGGATTGTGAGGGCAAACTGGTGGACCCTGAGAAATTGCAGACAATGGAACACATGCAAAAGGGCAGAGCAAAGAGTTGAACTGAGAGCCTTCTGTGAGGCAGATGTGCTTGCCACGTGCTCTGTTCTGCATCAAAGAAAAAAATTGCACTGATGGCTCAAAAGTGAGCTTTTTTTGTTATTTTTTAATTTCAAAGGCATAATATTTTACACACTTCTTGTATTGGCTCTTTTAGGTTGTTCGGATGTACCTAATTTTGACGCTGGTGATTTGAGGGTAATTAGGGTTGATTATAACAGTAATCCAATAATCTGTCAGTTATTTTTTTCAGTTAATGAAAGAATCACATCAAGGAAATACATATTTATCTTATGATTTATATTATAAATATTTCCATCCACTTATTCAAGAACAGCACATGAATTCAAATTGGCAGTGTGCAAACAGGTTTCTGTATGAAAATAACAGAGCTCTTAAAAGAATATATTATGAATAAAAAAAAAAAAACTTTGCAGAGCAATCAGGTGGCAAGTCAACACCAACTGATTGCTGTGCAGAACGACTGTTGACTACTGTTTGACCACACAAAGCGAGGCAAAAATAGAGGGAGCCCTCACCAAAACTGTAAAACTGACAAAGCCTATTGGATTAAAGGTGAAATATCTTCAACAAGAACAATCCAATTTCCCTGACTTATCCTTTGTGCATTACCACAACCTGGACGACCGAGAATCTACACAGATAAGTCAACCTCTTAAATATACTAGTATTAATGTCAAAAAAAAAAAAAAATTGATTTCTATGCCCGGTTATACTGAAGACAACAGCCATTCGGCTGATTCCTAACACTAATTACACACGTATATTTGAATACAATGCATTGTAATTAGCTTGCGCCGTTGAAGTGTTTAAGGTATGTGCAAACTGAAAATAAACTCGTGATAGTACGTTCAACTTTTATGAAACTTTGCAGCTTGTATCAGCATTTCAGACATGTTTAAGTAGATACAGAGAATTCAAGCTGGAACTAAAAAAATATTTCCATGAAAATTAAGAGGAATGCAATCTTTTAGCACACTGTAACATAGTGTTAGAAAACATTTGCATAACCTCCATATTCACTTTCAACATGACATTGCTGTTTTCAACGTTGCATCAAACACATCACTTTTGATTGCAAAGGCGAATGAAATTGTTAGCCGCTAACTCTACCAATAGGTGCATAGTTGAATGCCCCTCTTTCAGAATATTTCCGTGAAAGGCAGGATTTGCATCACATTGCTCGTCACTATTCTGAGTGAAATGTATGCAACCTATTATTTGGGCTCTGTCACCCGCACTTGCTAGGTGTGTGCATCTCTCCAATCAAAGGCAATTCGATGCATATCCGGATACATCCAAGGACTAATTTATTAGTTCGTGGACCGATCCACTCACATCTTTTAAATCAAAAATGGTGTTCCGAATCAAATGGGTTTTTGTCATACCCCTACCGACTAGCCATGATACCCTAGCCCTTGTGTTTGGATCACCGATGACCTGGATTACCACTACTGTGCATGTGCATCAAGGACAGGCAATCAATCATTTTATTTATCCCTGAAGGGCAATTAAAAGGCACAGAGAGTTACAGTCTCAAATAAATAAATCCCTAAAGGACATCAATACGCATAAAATCCAAACATAACATGTTTAAAACACTGGGATGACGCCATGCTGGAGAAGGGAGCGATTGGAGTTGCGCAGAGGAATCACTGGAACAAATGTGGACTTCCTTCTTTGAGTCCTACCACCCACACGCCACGGCCTGCGCCCCAGTTGCGGCCCCTCAAACAGAACATGAGTAGGGTCTCTAAAAATCTTATGGGCAACTTTCATGGCCTGTTGGCCACACAGGGCAGGAAGAGATCTGGCCAGTCACACATTTGTTACTCTGTGATTGGCTTTCTACAGAGGCAGAGTACAACCAACAAACACTTGAAAAGGAAAGAATCCTCTCAATGAAGGAATGATAGAATGTCACCATAAGGTTTTTGCTGACATCAAATGTCCTTAATTTCCATCCATCCGTTGTCCGAGCTGCTTATGCTTACGAGGTTTGCAGGCATGATGGAGCCTATCCCGGCTGTCATCGGAGAGAACCCTGAAGTGATTGCTAGCCAGTCACAGTTGTGACCATTCTGCCTTTTAAAATAATTGATTGATTTAAAAAGAAACTTTTTTTTTTTTTTTTAAGCGCTTCCGTTTTCCAAACTTGTTACCTACCCATTTGTTGTGTTTACGTGATATGAGGCGATCACACATTTGCTTTACAGTATGTGGCTTCTCGTCATAATGGCCACCTAAGGGAAACAATAACTACAGTGCGGCCCATGACAACGAGTTTGACACCCCTGCTTGGCTAGTGACCAATTCAGGGTGTACCCTGCTTCTCGACCCACGTCAGCAGGGATAGGCTCCAGCACACCTAGTAAGGATAGCTGTATGGCTGGACGGATGGACAGACAGACCTTGTTTTATGAACATTGCAAGCAATGCTCAAGGGCTTAATGCAAAACCCCATTGACAGGCTAACGGCAACAACACCCAAGTATCGGTACTTGGGTTGCGCCAAATAAGTATTCACACAAAAACACTGGCGACATACACAGACAGATAATGAAACAATACTCGTTGGCATATTTTCTTCCTACCCTGTGAAAAACGAGTTTAGTCGTGACTTTGTTATTGTAGTCTTTCTTCTGATGAAGTTGTGCTCTTTTACTTTCATGCACCACAATCCCCCTCAGAGGCCAAGGCTCACACACTCCAATACAACGCACACAACAGGGACAGCACTGGTTGAGGGACTGATGTAATAATAGCGTGATGCAACAAATCGATGACGAAATGTATTGCCAATACTTTGAATTATCAATTTTTTTTCACTTTTATTGGTTGATATTGATCTCACTTTGAATATCGTATGAAAAATTGTAATTAATTCCATTCATATGTATCATAAAAGCCACAGTTGGTTCTATTACAGAGCGCAAGGCCACCGCATTCCGCATCTTCTGGCTAAGATACTAGTGTGAAAGTCTGTCAATGCGGTGAAATCATAAGTTGGGACTCATCAGCCAACCTGAGTGATTCATGGAGATCACGCTGAATATGGGACTCAATTGTTGGCTGAGATCTTTCCTGAAGGGAGATGTGTGTTGCGGCTGTGATGAGAAGTTGGCACACGTTTTGTGAGTGGAGGTTAAAGAGCATTAGTTTTTTTTTTTTTTGTTACTTTGCTGACACAAATTCCTCTTGGTAATGCACTCTTTTTTTTTTTCTCCTCCTGTCAACCTGAAGACACTGCAAAATTTTACATTATTCGCACTGTTCTCACTGAAAAGTAGCTGCATTTACACCTAACCTGTTCATTCTCTCCTAGTCATAGTGCAGCCTATCATTGAAAAGCGACATTTTCTGTCCACAGTCTACTCCCAAGAAGTTAGGGATATATTTGACTTTCAGGGGAAATTTCAGGATGAAGTTAAAATTAACTAATGCTTACAGGTGAATTTAATTTGACCGTCCCTAAACTATTGAATGCACATGTCCGTCCGTTCTGTTTAAGTGCAACTTGGTCTTCTCTCACAAGGAACCGGAGCAGATGTTTGATCCAATACAATTTCCTGGTTCATTTGGAATTGGTGCGGTTCACATGTTGACACGAGACGAAGACGCCGCCTAACGACTGATCACCAACAACACTTCGCCCATTGCGATTCTTCAAGCTGGGTGTTGTCAGACGGAAGCGGCCACTGAGCTGAGTGTGCCAGCGGCAGCTTGCAACAAAAACAGAGAGTGGAAAAGTCACAGTAAAGCATAGGAGTGGATGTCCTTGAATGTTTATTGGTCGGTTTTGTGGTGAATTTTGCTCTTCGGCTCCTTGGTACCTAACCAAAAAAGGTGGACATCAATATTCAAAAGGTCAGAAATCAAATAAATTTAACCAGCAAAGGTCATAGTGGGTGTTAGGTTAATCCTGAAATTTCACCGAAAGCCGAATATCCCCAATTTTTTGGTAAGAAGCAGACCCACATCCACAAGAATTGCAGTCATTTAACGCAGACTCACATTTTATTTCTTTGAAAGTAACTGCAGCTACTTTTTTGTGATATCAGAGAGGCAACGGTTGACGTTTCCCTCTGACCATCAGCAAAAATAAAATGGACCTTTGAAATGTGTCTGTGTGACATAGCACTGTTGTAACCTTCTTTGCATTGTTCTTGCAGGGAGTCGACGATGCCTTTTACACGTTAGTACGAGAAATCCGCAAGCATAAGGAGAAGATGAGCAAGGAGGGCAAGAAGAAGAAAAAGAAGTCCAAGACAAAGTGCATACTCATGTGAATAATCAGTCCTTTTGCAGATAGACTAAAAAAGAAACTATGTTGAACAAAAAAGTAATACATTTTGTACATCACACTAAATTATTAGCCTCTTTCTCAATACCACCTCTTGCTGTAACCAATACTAAAGCTGACCTACTTTGTCTGCCTTCTTATTCTTTGCTACATAGACACCAATAAGCTTCCTTTCCTGTTTAGTGCCAGTTACTCACACAAAATTGGTTTGATTTTTATGGATGATGTTGATTTAACCCCCCCCCCACCCCCCCTTAAGATGTTGGTAAACTGCATCAAAGGACATGCCCGTCAACCGTTCCCATAATTATTTAGTCCTTTTGGCGAAAGGTTGTGTCATGGCATGCCAAAGAATGACTATTCATCCCTCAATTGTGCTAATGTCACTGAAATGTATGCATGAAATCCTTTACTAGTCTTCAAATGTTCTAACAACTTTAAATAGCTATTAACAATTTGTATCTTGTGGGGTTTGACCTCTTCAACTACGTTGTTGGGTTTTTTTTGTTTTTTGTTTTTTTTTTTTTGCATGCATTTTGTCTCGGATGACAATGCATATAAAGGTTGATTCGGTGGACAGCAGACCAGAGTCAACATGAGTCTAGTTGATCAAGTCTTCAGTAATGTTTTGTTTTGTCTTTTGACTAATTATACTGTACGATCCTCTCTAGACCTGTCCTAAATTGGCCGGGTTTTATGCGTCCACAAAAGTAACACCTTGTTTCATATGTGCTATTGTCAATACTTTAAAGGTCTTAACTGTAGGATTATATCCCTTCTTAATCTTTTTTTTTTTCTTTTTTTTTTTACATGCAGTAAAAGGCAGACATTGAAATGTGTAGGACAACATTTTTAAACATGAGCCCCTCATTATTTTTAGGTAAAATGAGATTTTGCATTCCCCAATATATGCTCGTCTAAGACCCTCAAGCTTTGAAGTGAAATTAAAAGCAACCAGGCAGTGTTGTGGTTGCGGGCAGTATAATGCAGCTTTTTTAATGTGCTGAGTCCCATTTTGCTTAATAGATTTTGTTTTCAGGTTTTCCACTTAAGAATTTAATCCCCCTCAAACTTTGCAATGATTTCAGATCATTTGGACATAAATCATCCCAAAAACTAATTGCTCACTTTCGGTGGCAAAGTTGTGTTATGTATTGATGTCCCTAATGCTTACATGAGGCTCAGTTGCCATAAAATTACCCTCTCCCAGGCAGTATTGTTTGACGAAGAAAAAAAAATCCAAGCTTCTCTTGTGGGTCAGCTTTTATTTAAGCCTTTCCATGTTTTTTTCTCCCTCCCCCCTTAGTTTTAGAGATGAATCTGCTCTCCGTGTTTCTATCAGATGCTGTCTAGATGGAAGGGAGAGCCAAGACAGGGCTCGATTGCAAAGTCCTGACTCAGAACATGCACAGGTGACTGTTTGAACATTTCAGAATTTCAATGAGAGATTTTTTTTCTCTCATAATTTCTTTGATTCAATCAATCTTGTTGAAAGACTTTCGCAGTCAGTGGTTTGCCGATTGAGTTTGCTCACAGAAAAAGTTTTCTTGTTGAAAGACTTTCGCAGTCAGTGGTTTGCCGGTTAAGTTAGTGGCCCATTATGTTAGCCAACATGGCTCAGGCCACTCGGGGTGTCGCTGCACCCGTTAACAGTTCCGACCACTGGGGGTCAGTCTAGGCATTTTGAAGGGTGTTGAAAGGTTGTCTAACCAAACCTGTTTGTTTTGTTTTGATTGCGTGCCAACAGCTGATTTTATTTCTCACGGGAATCACTTAAACCTTGATCATATGTTAACAACGTTTGTATAGTTGTGATACAGAAAGTTGCATATTTTGTAAATTGGTGTGTGTCTTGCAGAATGTTGCTTTAATGGACTTTCTCTGCGCTTGGTGTGTGACTAGTGTATCTGTGTCCAGGGTTAGGGGAGTGAATGAATGGCCACTTTGCAACATGTTGAGTGGTGATCTGATCTTAAATGCGTCTATTTTTTTGCCATGAATCTCACCACTCCTATTTAATGTGTATTAAAGAACATCAAAAGGAAGCTGACTCAGTATTTTTTTTTTGAAAGATTTTGAATTATACAGTATAATTACTTACCTGCAGGCAATAGACCAGCTTGCTTTAATTGAAAGGGAAATAAACATTTGTGTCAAGTACCCAAGTGTCATTTCAACTCGAAATTAACTCAATTTCTCCAAGAAAGTTGTTTTTAAAAGGTAATTTAATTTGCCATTGGCTCCTCATTCATTAGCTGGTGACTGAATAACGCATAAAATAAATACTCAAGAGTACTACAGTATACAGTACAGTATCGTATTGCCAAATGCGGGGCTGAGCTCATTTTGTACTACCGCGTTTGGCCAGCAGGTGCCAATGTTTATGCAGTCCAAGACAAGTGGAAACACCAAAATGAAAACAAACAAAATAAAAGCCTAATCGCAATTAAAACAGCTTCATTCAAAGTCCGATGGTGCACTTGTTATACCCACACCGTCATGCCCAGCACTGTAAAAATAGATTTCATGTTCTGATAGGAGCAAAAGGGGTGGGACACACTTTATACGCCATCAGTCTTGACAGCAGCGACCGATTGTGGGAGGAAGCGAACCCGACACGGCAAGACTCGAGCTCTGAACCGAGCCATCATCCTACCTCAACTTTGCGATGCGACAGTATTGCCATCCCCACCAAGGTTTCCCACTTTAATAAAGACGAGACAAGATGCCTAATCTAGTATTGCTGCCTATAAATCATGAATGTCCTGTATAGTTGGTTAACAATTCTTCCCCACTAATATGTGTACATGGGTAGATACAAAGGCACATAGATCGGATATTACCTAAATGAACCAAAAAAAGTGATTTCATGCATACGTCTCACCCGTGGGTTGGCTTTCCGCACATGCACACAGCAGTGTTGTCATTTGTGAATATATCCGAATCGTTTGAATGAATGCGATTTACTGGATCACTCCAAAAAATTATGCTTTGATTTCTAAGTGCATATAAGGTTAACCGCAGCCACAAGGAACCGAAACGTAACTCACTTGTGAATCTTGGACAAACGACCAGAGACGGGCATTCCATCCATGGGACGGAACATTTTGGGGACGGAGGACGAGAAGTGTATGATTTAGCAAGGACGTGGTATGTGGTGTCGTTAGACAAAATAACAAGGCCAGAGTGTAGCCAAACACTGTATGCTATTTTCTTAACAGACTATTTCATCTCAACAGTATTTATATAGCAACACTGCTACCTAGTGTACAATTAGAGAACATAAAGTACCTACGGACATCCATCTCACAATCAATCCAGCAGGTGAAGAAACCTGGCTGAGTTGTATGTCTCGCGGTACCCACCCACCATACTGATGACTAGGTTTTCTAAAAGTAAAGTTTTTTTGGTTATTTTATTTTACCATAGTAGCTATTTTTGTGTTGTGAAATTCTACTGTAGAGTTGCTTATCACTAAAACATTAAAAAATATAAAGTAACAGTGACTTCATTTTCTTTTGATTGATGGCCAGTCTTATCTGTACCAGACAATCACAGCGTTACTGAAAATAAGGTTCGGTAGGCAGGCGTTTGGCATTGCGTAATGTTGCAAGACATGTGTTTTGTATTTTATGAATGACACGTCTCTCTCATGAAGTGACATAAGATTTGTAGTGAGCGCCTCTATGAAGCGGAAAACACCTTAAAATCCCTAATACTTGCGCGATCATTATATTTCAGAGGTTGATGTGAGCATTAAGTAAAGATGTCAACATAAATTTTGGTGGCCATCATTCACAGTTTTGGCACATTAGGCGACTTTAGATTCCTATTTTACGGGTTCAGACTGCCAACTTGCATCACTGTATGGCAAACTGCAGCGTCGACGTACTCAAGAAGGTGTCTTTGAATATGTAATGTCAATGTTGTCTGTGATAATGCTTGCGGTTGTCGCAAAAGGTGTTAGTTAGTCAAGATAGATGAGCAGTGCCGCACGAATTTTTGGGGGGCATTTTGTTGACATGCAAATGTTCACACGAGTTGACTTTCTATGACAGTCTCGATTGAATTGTCTTTCCAGCGAGGACAAACACGGTGTACTAGTACATTACCATTCATTAACCTTAAGATGGACATCAAGCATAGCGAATAAATGCTCAAAAGGGTTTCCATAGTAGCCACCTTTTTTACCAGTGCCAGTGACAGTCACCACCTGAATTGTGAAGTTCTGCTCCCCATGACGGAGGCAGCAAGAATTCAGGATGCACCTTCAGATCCTTCTTTGATGTGTATTATTTGCATCTCCAAGTACCAAGGTGAACAGCGTTGCCATGGTGACCGCAGACCCCTCTACTTTAGCCCTAGTATTTAGCTCACATTTATTGGCTTGGCTTCTGACCATGTCTTTGTCAGATAACCAATACACCTAGACATTCATATTCTGTCGCCAATCCACGCCTATACCTATGATCAGTCTCCACAGGGATTTGTTATTTTTACAAATCATCAACCAATCTCAAGTGTTCAAGATGGCTTGCTCTGTTTGCAGTGAAAGGCAATTTGTATTTTGGTTTTCTGAAAAGTGATGCTTTTGGGGATGTGAGGATTCCGCCCGCGGTTAACGTTACATAGTTTTCTGTTGAAAATCTTTCAGATTGAAATAAACAGTCGTGGTCAAAAGCTGTTATTAAATACACGTGCATGCTCAAAAAAATAACGTCTATGTAATTAAGCCCTCATGTCCCTGTGGCTAAAATCTGTTTAAGATTAAGTAGCCATTTCAAGTAAGGGTATGAATTGGCTTGAATTGTTGGATAAGTAAAATAATGTGTACACTATCGATGAGGGTGCCGTGTTACCTTGTCCTCCAATTTGTTGACACATATTAGTGAAACAAAGCATTCAACTTTATTCAGCTTTGGACAAAATCAGTGGGATCAAACGTGATGGTGTCGGCGGCTACTTTATTCATTGAATCCATAGTTTTAATTTGTTGATACAATTTCCAAAAAACACAATGTGAAGAGTGTCCTTGTCACATAAAAATGTACTCTTGCTTCAATCACACCCTCCAACAGAATGATCAAAGCATCAGCTTTTTTTTTTAACTCACATTTGATGAAGGGGAATGTCAAAGATGAGATCTTTTTTTTTCTGGCGTCTATATCCTCAAAGAGTTGCTGTAATTAGTCTGACAGAAAAGATTGCCAAGCAGATTGTGTGCAGAGACAGTGAACACGCTTCAAACACACGTACCCGCTCGTGCGTCTATATCCTCAAAGAGTTGCTGTAATTAGTCTGACAGAAAAGATTTTGTCGGGAAGCAACTTGTCCAACGTGATTATTGCCAAACAAGTTCATTGGCATTGCTATTACAGGGATCTTATGGTGAATCTCTGCTTTTATTTTTGAAAAAAAAAATCAATGAAAGCATGATTAATCATTTTTTGGTTAATGATATATTGTGTTCTACAATTTTTTTGTATCCGTTTAGGGCCATGTTAGTTATAGGTTATCCTGAAATAGCTATTAGCCATTTTGTTTTGTGCTTTCACACTAGGGGAGTTTGTAGGATCAGAATTTTAGGGGTCCTGTTAGTTTCTGCAACAGAGCACAGCCGATAGTGAGGCATTCAGTACACGCGCTCTCACACACACACACACACACACACACACACACACACACACACACACACACACACACACACACACACACACACACACATTTGTTATATATTTCAACCAATTAGTGTATGTTTTCAACACTCTAATAATCTATCTTGTTAAAAAAACG